GTCATGAAGACATTTGCTACGTGCTTGCGTGTATCTCTGTTTACGAACACCTTACATGGCATGTTATCTTTCCTCCCTCTTATTTTACAACCGCACACACTGTAGAGGATGTGAACATGTCAGACCTGTGACGGTTCTCCTCTCTTTCTTGCACAATGACGGCTCAGGTGCTGTGGTTGTAAAATAAGAGCAGGAGAGGATGTGTGTGCACACGTGTGTGTGTACATTAGCGTGTATTTCATGTATAATAATATAAAACAGTGTAGAGGCTCTTCTAATCCTCATGTCACTAATAACCTTGTGTAACAGCTAAAAATCCCCCAGGCCTTAAATGAAGGACATGTTCTGTATGCTGCCACCGAGGGACCAAAATACTGGGACCACAGAACAAGAGACTTTTAGCTTCATGTTTGGCTGCTACAGCATTTTTTGAACCAGAATTGATTTTGTAGTATTACATATCTTGTAAATGCTGCTACAGGTCCTATATTTTACATCTCTTTGTGAGACACAATGTAAAGTGCAGCTAGAATAGGCTACATCTGTGTGAGTCATGTGTTTACACTAGTGCTGTTGAACATCTGTGATTCTGTAGATTTGAGTGTAGCTGTGGCTATTGCAGTAATCACCAGCTGATGGCTAACTGCTCTTACAGCTGGAAAGACTCACTCTGCAATTACTCTCAGTGGTTCAATACCACCACCTCTCCATGGCAGCCCTTGATGATTCTACACTCCCATCAGGCTTTTATCATAGGCCTTTTTTACTGCACTTGCCCAGTAGATCTCAGTATTTGAATTAACTTTAATTTCACACTCTGTCAACATTGGAGACTCCATAACATTGTTATAGTATGAAGTAAGAAGACTGTGGACAGTAAAATCATTATGTTTATTTGGTGGGTTGGTGGCTTTTGGCTTCATGTGTTTACGCCAACTTTACTGGGTCACAGGGCATTAGCATTATACCTAAACTAAGAAATAAAAACATGTAGCAGGTCAAATGTTAAAGTCATTTCTAAATGTGAAAGTGACGGGTAGCTTTGTTTGGGAGATTCATTTATCAGAGACGCCGAATGATTATGTGGTTGCTCACCTTAAAGCAGTAATAATAGATTTTATGGCCACTTGAGGGCAGTGCAAAAGCTATAAACAGTAGTTAATATCATTAGTGTTCATTCAGAGTTGTGTCTCTGTCCTGCCTATGAAAGTCAAACATTCTGTTCAACTCCTGCTAACTGCCCCAGTGTGTTCACCAGCTAGTCGTTAACTTTATCTGATGTTCGGTGCTGAGAAGGTCGTGCAAAATGGGTTTCTGAATTTTTTTGCTGCTGGAAACAAAGTTAATGAGAGCGGTGAGAGAGAACTAAAACAGTGAAGGTGTGGGTCGTAGAACCAAAACAAGGGAGGCCAAAACACTATATAGCTCAGGAGAAGTGCAGATTTGTCTTTTAATCAAAATTAGGGGCAGTATTTTTCCTGTGATTGGGAACTACACTCAATCTTTGACAATGCTTAGTTTTGTATTAGTCTGGCAATACAGATATTTATGATTTGATTTGCTGTATGTTGCAACGTACAATGCAGGATGCAAGTAATTGTTAGTCAGCGTGACTGTGTGTGCTAGCGCTTGACACTGGCCACATATCGAGCTGCCTTGCACTCTCCCTCTTTCTCTGCGTCTCTCTTTCTTACTCACACTCACACATGAATAATTGAGAAGCAAGGTGGGGGGAGACGGTGAGTCAGGAGTTCCTGCTGAATTGTTGTGCAGCATCTCAATCAGAACAGAGACTCTCCGCCCGTTTCTCTATCAATCTTTCTGCAGGATTCTGTTCTATTTGATTGAATATTTCCCAAGAGTTTACCCAGAAGACCATCAAATAAACTAATGTCAGTTCACTGTTAGATTCACTAGTGGGTTCATAAAAGGTTTTATCAATACGGTTTATAACATCCTTCTGTGTGCAGTGTTGATTGGGAGCAGTAATGGCCACCATAGCTTAAAGAAAAGAGGCGTCTTAGCATGGAACTGCTATTCAATTGAGAAGCACAGTGCAGAAGCAATGGCTGCTCTGCAACAAATAATACAATTGTAATAATAATTTTCTCTTGAATTACAGTTATAATCTCTTGTACATGAATTTTCTCACATGATGGACATGATGTACTGTAGATTTGAGGCAGCTTTATAAAATGATAGTGGCTGTGCAGTTTGTAACACAATCTGGCAAAAGCACTGACCCTCACGGTGGGAAATATAGGGAGAGACAGGCAGAGAGTGAGACAGACAGACCGACAGACTGGGATAGAGACAGACAGACCGAGAGATGAAAAGCGTAGGATGATGCAGGCTGCTGACTCATCAGCCCTGTAGGGATTATCCTTCTCTGTGTGTGTGCATGTATATGTGTTTATATATGTGTGTGTGTGGGAGTGTGTATGTGCTGCCTTACTACTGAAGAGGACATGCACAATGATCATTACCGCATGATGAAAGCATGATAGAGGAAGCAAGAAGGCCTGTCAAAGCACCTTGAACGTATTTTTGCATGATTATTCTTCCGCTTGCCTCTCCAGCTACACTACTGGACTGGATTTATTGTGGAAATAGACACATGATTTATAAACTAGAGTTGATGATTTATCATTTAGTCACAGAAAATGTCACACCATTATCAAAAACACTTGTGCCTTATCGGAATGTCAATGCAAAGCTGAGAGGCACAGAGCTGGGCACTGTAGATTTCAGCAAACTTTACTCAAACAGGAGTAAATTATGTATTTCTTGGGAACTATATTCAGCAGCGGAGTGATACACATTTTGTGCTCCAGTGAGCATTTACAGTGCGAGGACAGTGTATGTGGGTATCTGAGTCTTTGCTTGTTGCCTCACGATGACTACAGGAAGTCACTGATCCTGGCCAGGAAATAGTTCAAACGTAACATAACATTTCTGTAAAATGTATTAAACTAAAGAGATGTGACATGCCAATTACTGCAATTTAACACATTTCCCATATCAGTCTTTTGTAAGAGTTGTTATGCATTCAGTTTGTTCAGTATCTTAAAGTAAAACGTTTTGAACCTCAACTCCCCATTGCTCATTACTTGTCATTATAACGAGTAGATTGCCCCCTGTGTGGGGTGTAGTAGTTGTGAGGTGTACTGGCGTTTAGGCTATATTACGCCAGGAAGGAAAATTCAATAGACACCTCTCAGCTGCCTCTCAGTCAGCAGGCAATGTGCAGACATGGATATGACACTATTAATGAATCACAGGGCTCAATAGTAGTTGCTCTGCGTTTGCCCTGCTCTGCTGAATCAAGTCTTTTAAAATGACACCGGTCATGCTTTCTCTCCCCCTCCGTCCATCACTCTACGTACACACCAACTTATCTCATTCCTCTCACTGGCTCTTAGAATATGCCCTGAGGTTTGCCGCGGAGGACAGCTCTCCTGTCTGCCAGTGAATAGATATTCTTCACATAGGCCTCACTGCAGTTAAAGGACTGCAGTTGAAAACACTGGCACATGTTGATTAATGTGCGTTGTCCTTATAAATAAATAATGTAATAATATTTAACAGATAGGAGGAAGGAAGCACAACTACTGATAGTCCTATTTTATTGGGTATTAGCAAACTATGCTATATGGTATGCTAAGCTTTTGGTAGATCGTCTTGGTGTTAAATTATGTGCGTGTTTATGCTAATACTTGGAGCATAAACAATAAATTAAAGTAGTTAGTTAGCATTATTCAAGTTTAAATTTGGTCTTAGTAGTGGAAATCAGCAATTTTTCTATAGCCTGAACATACGTATAAATTAGAGGAGCAATAATAGTTGTTTTTTTTTTGTCCGGTTAGGGGCCTATCACCTGTCACTGTGAACAAACACATCCAGCAGACATGGAACAGAATTAGAACTGATTTAGAATCGTGTTTCTGGCCTCCCAACAAATGTAAGTCCATGTAAGTTGTTCTGCAGCAACTCCTGAGGGAAATATCAGACTCTTCAGCTGGTAACTGCTCCACTATGTGCAGCAACTAGTTGCTAACTGTGTCTGTCTGGTGGAAAGGTGGCATACAGAGGATGTATCCGAGCGTTTTCACTGACAGCTGCCTGTTGCAGTTGGAAATGACACTGATGAGAGCAGTGAACCAAAACAGTAAATAGGCTACAGACAAAAAGGCCTTTCTAAAAAACCTTGGTGCATTAATTTACAACTGATTCTGCCTGATTATGATTTCTAGGACTGAAAGTCTGATTCCCCTTTGCTATCCCTTCTTCCTTTTTGGTTTCTCTCTATCTCTCTGCTGTGGAATATTCCACTCTCCCTCAGCCTGTGTTAGTATTAATGACTGGCTGCAGTAAGAAACAAAGCAGCAGCCAGTATGACTCACACCAGGCAATGGTGGCATAATGTGAAGCACTCATTTAAATACATTTCATTAACATGGAAAATGGCAGCTTCCAGAGGCAATTCTGTCAATAATAACGACCTCCTCTTGCTTACACAGACAAGTTACTACTTACTAAATAGGCAACTGATTGTCAGAATAAGAGGAATTAACACATTTAGACAGACATCGGACCCTGCCAGACCTGCATATCCAGCAAATTTGCTTGTCTAACACAACTTCTGGTTTTAGTTTTTTAGTTTTTAAACAGGTTGATTAACACTGGACATAAATAAAATCTGAGAGAACACTGCTCAGGGGAATGCAAATGTTAGATTCAAGTGAAATTAGGATGCAAGAGACTACGGCTGTGAAATTCAGCAAAGCCTAGACCCAGTTTCGCTGCATTTACTCTAGCACAGTCCTGTTTGTTTGTCATCTCTCACCCATCTGTCTCCGTCTCACACCATCCCTGCAGTGGTTTGTGCTGCCATTACTTAAATAAAAGGCTTCCAGCACACGCTGTACCTGTGCTGAGTCGCTCCCCTGCTAATATCCACTGTCTGACCTCCTGTTCCTCCTCTCCTTCATCCTTCTCAGACCTGATCCAGGCCACCCAGGAGACCAATGTGAACGTCCCCCAGATGGCCGACACGCTGATGGAGAGGGCCGGCAACGCCAGCTGGGTGGTGGTTTTCAAAGCCCTGATCACCACACACCACCTCATGGTGCATGGCAATGAGGTGAGATTATAACATACTGTTTACACACACCCTGATGGCATATGTAAATATGTTTGTTGCTGGTTTTAATGACTGGTAAAATGCACTCAGAGCATTTATGTATATTGCCACTGACCACCATAGTGTCATTGTAGCCCCCAGTAGAGTAAGGCAAAGGATTGGTTGTACTGGGATGTGGTCCGAAGTAAAGTAGGGCAGTGCTGGACAAGGGCGTCTCTGCTCGGTCGACTTTCCACACAAATACCTGCTCAAAAACACACCGGCACAGATTGCCTTTCATGCATGTAAGTGCAAGCTGTAGTTTTGATCTCTGTTCATTCAGCCATAACTTATCAGCATACTAATATCACTGTTAAAATATGCAACAGTTTTGTTATGTTAGGTTAAAACTGTTTAGCTAAAATTGTTGTATGCACTTACTTATACTTATCAATATTTTTATATGAACAATGGGTCAAAAGATTGTAGTGATAAACCCAATAAGAATGATCACCCAACTCTGCAGTTCAGCTTTATGGAGCTTTTTAGTGTCTTTCAGCTCACTGTTTTGGTTCTATGGACTACAGTTTTACTGTAGTAGTTTAGACAAAGCAGGCAGCTGTATTTAGCTAAAAAATGTTGGTACATCGACTGTAGTCTACCTGCTTAGCAACAAATGGCATACAACAGTTGACAAATATCTGTGGAGCATTTAGCAGCTAAGGATGCAGTTAATTACCTTTGGAGTTTTAAGAGTCCACAACAGAGCTAAAAAGAGAATGGATATAGGACTTAAATTCACAGTGGACAGAAACACAACTCCAAATGAATGCTCCAAATTGCCTCATGTCTGCTGGATGTTTAAATAGGCAACTGTTTGCTAACACATAACAACTATATAAGGCAACAGTATGTCAGTAATAATGCTGCTTGTCAATATCAGGCTTGTTGTGCTCAAGTGGCCAAAAAATCAATGAATGCAGGCTTAAAGCTACTAAAAGGGAATTTAAAAGGGAAAACTGGATTTTAAGTTGGTAATATTTCTGACAGTGACTGTGTACTGATAGAAGAGGGCTATAACATGAATTCAGTGACAGTATAACTAATTATTTTCCATGCATATTTATACTAACCTTATGAGTAACTTGCATACTTAATGGTTGTCTCTGCACAATAGCCCTTTACTTTTTTGCTTTTGCCACATAGATATTGCCTTCAAGAGCAGTCCTGGAATTAGCAAAGGGACTGGCCTTCTGCTTTCTGGCCCTGACCCCCTTGACCCAATTTATGTCCTGACAGCTGAAGAAAGACAATAGCTATGAATGGGCAACTAGGGATAACTCAGAGTGATAAGCAGATGCTGCTTTACTGCCCATCAAAGTGGCCAAGCTGCCTCTGAATTACAGATGACACAAAGGAGAGATAAATATTGACACACCATTGTCAGAGAAAGTTTTCTGAAATATTAGAGAGCAGGAGAGACTATACTGTATTAGACCAAGCCATCAGCTCATTTAGTCATTCATTTACCTTCTGTACCTACTTAATCCGTTCAAAATCATTGAGAGAGGGGCTGTATTCCCAGCATGCATTGGATGGAAAGCAGAAGAGATTTATCGCTATAAAGATAATGGCATTAACCTTTGTAGTCGGTGTCAGGAGGAAAGGGTAAGTTGTGTTGCACTGTGGCCCTTCACACACACACACACACACACACACACACACACACACACATACACACATATACACACACACACATACACACACACACACACATACACACACACATATACACACACACACACACACACACACACACACACACACACACACACACACACACACACACACATATACACACACACACACACACACACACTCACACATTTAACAAACAAGCTCAGTTTGTGTGTGAAAGATGTGATGAAGTGATTTCTTTCCATGTTTGTGCTGTTATCTTTGTGATGTTCAAAAAAGCTCAAAGGGCCATGAAATTATGTTTGATAAGGCAATATATGTATACAATATGTACCTTCTGTCTCCTGAGACCTGATTGTTTTTAGCCAGGGCTTTGCTGTTGTAGTGTCCCTGACAATGATAGAGAGAGTACTGACTGGAGAGAGAGAGAGAGATAATGAAAGGAGGAGGGGAAGTAACGGTTAGCATTTCTCCATGGAAGATTTCTCATTCCTAACCTCCCCTTATGTTATTACGCTCTGCTTTGTGTAAATGGAGCCACTGAATAAACAGCAGTGTGTGTGAGTGTGTCATGTTTTTCATGTCCCTGTGTGTGTGTGTGTGTGTGTGTGTGTGTGTGTGTGTGTGTGTCACTGGAGTGGGCTTATTGTTGCAGGTCTACAGAGGGAGCCTATTTGTCGCTATTATATATATATATATATATATATATATAAAATTGATATTCACACACTTCTACTTACAAAGGCCGCGGCGTTGCTTCTTTAATGCTGGATTTCTATCAGATCACTAAGGAAAAGGACAAGTATAGAATCACACCTCTCATATTAATTCCACTCTCTGCTACAGGCAGTTTCACAGGTTTGGGGTAGAGTGCTGAAAGTGCAACAGCTCCTTCGAGATAGCTGTGAACATCAACCAAGACTTCTTTTCTTATATTTAAGATGGAGCCTTCTGCTGAATATAACAATGATCATAAGAATATAACAAACCATGACTGCTGGGATAAAATGTGTTTATTCATAACTCTGAGGAGTAATGGTTATTTCCCAATCAATGAAAATATATTTTTTCATTTGAAATAGTTTTGCTGATATGTACAGTAAGATGATGTTTCACAGTGTTTTAGTAAGACACCTTAATGTCTACGATCTATTTTTCACCACTGCGCATTAATTACCCACACCAAAGTCACAAGTTTTAACCAAGAATGCTGACTAACTTCAGCTAGTTTTGTCAAAATGACAGGCGTTCATTCATTTGAAACCTGGCAGAGAACTAAACCCTGTCTGTGAATTTGTCCTTTCCTGCAGAGATTTGTGCAGTTCCTGGCGTCTAGAAACACCTTATTCAACCTCAGCAACTTCCTGGACAAAACTGGCTCCCACGGTGGGTTCATAAATAGTTTTTCAAGCTTCTGTTTCCAGTTCTTTCACCCTTTTATTTTTGTCTTTCACTCTCCCTAAAACACTTCAAAACACAACATGTTTTTCAGTATTATAAGTAAAAGAAGTGCATGAGCAGAATAAGATTGAATGTTACAACCAACCTGACCATTCCCATATCCATCCTTCAGTTCCAGCTCTCCTAACTCTTTCTCCCCTCAGTTAAACCCATCTCCATGGAAATGAATGCAGTCTGCCGGGTGATAAACACTGGGTTCACAGTCTGTTGTCATGGACCGGAGTATCTGCAGAGTTTAGAAAGCCAGATTGTACACGTTTAAGACATTTTAAATACTACATAATCAGGATTACACGTCAGCAGTAATCTAAGCATGGTCTCGCAGCTAAAGCCAGGCTATTAGCTTAGCTTAGAATGAAGACTGGAAGCAGGGGGAAACAGCTAGCCTCACTCTGCAACCACAACATGTTTGTTTTTACACACTGGTTTTTGTACAGCTTAACAAACGATATGTTGTGTTATTGATAAGCTTTAGAGACGCTAGTAGGGGCATTTTTTACCCTTTGACAGAGCCAGACTAGCTGTTTTCCCCCTGCTGGTACTGTTTAGGCTAAGCTAATTGTCTCCTGGTTTTAGCTTCATACTTAGCATACAGACAAGGGAGTGGTATCGATCTTCTCATCTATGTTTCAGCAAGAAAATCAGTGCCCATATTTCCCAAAATGCTAGACATTTTGGAACTTCGTAAAGCCTACTAATACCCTGCACAGAGTTGACACTGGAGACTGTACATGTGTTTACATACGAGTGTGTCGTCCTCAGGCTACGACATGTCCACGTTCATCAGACGCTACAGCCGCTATCTGAACGAGAAGGCCTTCGCCTACAGACAGATGGCTTTCGACTTTTGCAGAGTCAAGAAAGGGTACGGTTTCTCATTTCTCACGACACCGCACTGCTGCATGACTATTTCAGCTTTATTATTGATTTTTTTTAAAAAACGCTTTGTTAGTTTATTCGGAACCACAACATGGCCCTTTACTTGCCCCCCATATCCATCAGAACAACAGGCATCCCACAGGGGTCCCAATGGTGCGTGGGATGGACTGCCTCCAGCGCGGCGTTGGGCCAAGTGCATGGCTTTACTGCCTGTACTGAGTGCAGAGATGAATACAGAGTGGGTTATTACTCATGCTCATACAGTGGACAGCTCTATTTAGCTGGCAGCCACAAGGTCCCTCCGGCTACGTAAGCTGGCAATGAAAAATACAGACGTACTAGACTACAGAAATAGAGACCAGACACGTTGGTGGATACAGTGTGTGTGACAGGTACAGACAGGTGTTCTACAGTATGTGTTGGCTCTCAGACAGTATGTGGGTCTGAGTCTTTGTGTCTTAGAGCTGCTGTTTAATTCTCCCATTTTCTATTTCTTCCTCCGTCTCAGAGCTGAGGGAGTGATGAGGACCATGTCAGTAGAGAAGCTGTTGAAAGGAATGCCCACCCTGCAGAGCCAGATCGACGCACTGCTGGATTTTGATGTGAGTGACACTCGCTAATAGGGAACAAAGTCACTTTGGAAGGTTACGGAATTTGCTGAGGGATAAACAAAAAAGGACTGCCAGCTGTGTTTAACAAAGCTTAGTGCTGTAGCAGCATCTATGAAGACAGTTACAGCCCCGAGGACCAGATTTAATAATGAATTCTATATCTGCCTTTGGTCACATTTTACTGTGTTTTTCTTTCCATACTACTTGTAAGTTTGTCTTTAGAAAGCTATTTTGGGTTATTTTCTGTTTTTCTTTAACTAACTGCACCGTGCCTCTTTTATTTCTCTCTGTACAGGTGCATGCCAAGGATCTGGACAACGGAGTGATAAATGCCTGCTTTCTCCTACTCTTTAAAGATCTGATCAAGTTGTATGCCTGCTACAATGATGGCATCATTAACCTGCTAGGTAAAGAATCGCTCCTTTCGCTTTATCACTGGGTTAATTAGATAATCAATATAAAAAAGTTAAATTATAAGGATGTACTGTATGTACATATTTATTCTTATTTTTATCAAACGCCATAAAAAAAATAAAACAAAACCATCAATGTGTTAGTTAGTCTTTCAGTACTTTCCAACTTCCCTACCCCATCTTGCGCTCTATTAGTTCTGAGCCATTTGTTACTACAGTACAGATGAAAGAAACCTTCAAAACTGGGTCACAAATACATAGTTCTATTTCTGTAATTTTCTAAAAAAAAAAAAAAACTGAGTAGTGTAGTAGTAGTGAAAGTTACTCAAACAGAAGTAAATGAAGCATTTGCTGTGGACTATTTTCTGGGTGGTTTTGTGCTCTTGGGAGTATTTATAGCAGCAGAACAGTGTATAAATACAAATATAAATAAATAATAAAATAACAAAATAAAATAATAAAAACAAACTACAGTGCCTAGGTTCATGGTAAAGAAGGAACATGTCACCCAGACAATGGATCTATGGAACAGAGGAATAAGTTATATATCAGACTTTGGATGCACACACAATACTTGTTAATAGGATCAATTCGTTGTTAGTTTTGGTCTTTTTGTGATGTGTTGACTATAAGAAAATTGTAGAATATCACCAGACGTATTCCTGAACTCCTAAGTTATTAAACTTAACAGGGATAAAAGTTCACGTTTCATGATCTTTGTTGTCTAGAAAAATTTTTCCAGATGAAGAGAAGCCAGTGTAAAGACGGGCTGGAGATCTACAAGAGATTCTTGACACGAATGACTCGGGTTTCAGAATTCTTCAAAATTGCTGAGGTACCCTGCAGAGCACATTGTATGACTGATTATCAGCTAAATGTTATTCTGCCTGGTAACTGTTGCATTGAAATGTCCCTTTCTTGTTTTACAGCAAGTGGGAATAGACAAAAATGACATACCTGAACTAACCCAGGTAAGACTAAATGAGGCTTTCTCTTACCAAATTTTATTTTCAGTAAATTGTTATTACTATTACTGGACCTGTGGAGTTTTTTTAGGCTACATACTAACAGAGCATGTCAGTATTGTGTTTTGTCTAATGGTACTGCATGTAGTTTGAATGTCTAAAGCTGTTTTTTTCTCCCGCTGTGTTAACCATGATTGCTCCTTTTTGATAATAATCGAGACATTACAGACAGCCACACAATGTTGTAAAGAAGGAGGCAATGTATCCCTCATGTTCATCTCCATGCAACCGATGAGCTGTTGTTCTCTGGTGATTGACAGCCTCTTTGCCCCCCTTCTCTTTTCACTTCCAGAGATGCAGATTGATCATTCAGGCTGAGAGTGTGAGTAGTGAGCACAGAGCTAGCTTTGGGGAGCAAACAGCTTAGGGAAGGTCGACATTTGAACTCTCTTTGAGTGCACTGAATTTAAAGCAGACTGCACAGCGAGTGCACACCCAGCAGACATACATCAGGCGCTGTGATGAAGTGGGATGATGTGACTGGAAGAGCCGATGCTGAGCAATGCTGCTGACCAGGCGACTGTTTTCCGCTGCTAAAACTCTGGGCTAAACATAGTTTTAGTTCAACAGTTACATAAAGGCACAGCAGATTGTAATCCTCCAATTGTGCTGCAGAGTTTCCATGACAGTGAAAGAGTCACTGTGAAGATTATTTCTGCCTTTTTTGGTTCCTGAATGATTCCCGGGATGGGAAACCTGTTGGTTCCTGGTTCAGCCTCAGGCTTCTAAACTCTGTTGTGTTGTGGAAACTCTTATCTTTTCAGACATGGCAGTATGGATGAGTTGCATGAAAAGCATGCTGTTGTACACCATGCCGAATCAAACACTGTTATGTGTTATGTGTATGGCACTTTTATGGTAGCATTTTTGAAATGGAGATGGGGTGTTAGATCTCCAGAAACAGTCAAATTAATTTCTTCATCTCAAAATGTTCTGTCAACGCCTTGCTGATGTGCTAGGACAGTTGCAAGATTAGCTAGAGTCAAAGCTAATTTGTGTTAATTATGTTAACAGACTGGATTTGTGGTCAGTATATAGCTATGGTGCAACATTTTGGGGAATATGCTTATTAACTTCTTGCATAGACTTAGCAGAGAAGATTGATACCACTCTCATGTGTTTATGCTAAATATGGAGCTAGAGCCAACAGCAGGCGGCTAGCTTATTTTAGCTTAGAGACTGGAAACAGGCAAACAGCTGGGAAATAATCTGCCTACCAGCACCTCTAAAGCTCAGAAATTAACATGTTATATCATGTTTGTTTGATCTGTACTAAAACTCAATGTGAAAACAACTATTTATTCTATTTATTGCTTTTATGAGGAGTTATGTGCCGGACTACTTTTGGCTGAGTTCTAGTCTTGATGCAAGCTAAGCTAATCACCTGCTGGCAGGAGCTTCATATTTACCGTACAGATATGAGAGTGGTATTGATCCTCTTATCTAACTCTCAGCAACAATGTGAATAAGCATATTTCCCAAAATGGCTAACCATACCTATATCGTATTGCTTTGTAGAGTACTTTAGTTGTGGTTTTACTTAAGTGGTATATCCACTTTCCTTCAAGCTATGTGTTGTTTGTCAGTCCCTTCTTCAACAACGTTCTTGAACGCATACAAACAACAGATACTACATCCCCCACAGAAGGCATTTAAACTTAACAGCTGTGGGTTTTGATTGATTGCAATAGAGGTTTTTCCCCGAAAAGGCTTTTCAGATTTGAATATGTCTTCCAGCTACATTACATTCTCCCGCCTGCGGAACAATTCTGTAATCTCTGCCTCGGTAGTGATGGGTTTCTTTCAGTTGGATTATTTAGTTTTATAAATATCAGTTCAAAATACTCTTGATGTCTTTTTCTTCTGTCACAGTCCTGCGGCAGTTTCTAGCAAATGTTCCCATTAAAATCTTAAAAGCACGTGAGTGCTGTTGAAAAGGTTGTTGGATTTTAGCATGAAGCTGAGCTCTGTTTTCATGTTCACAGCAACGTCTTTAATCTCACACAAAAAACGACTCAACTACTCCTGCTTGTTTTTATGGAAACGTTGTGCAAAATATATTTCTGCTAGCCTGATCAAATGAAGCACAAAATTGAATAAGTGCTAGGTCGGGTTCTCTCTATTTGAAAGATGGCACCATTTTTCTGGCTAGCCAATGTGCACCAGTGTTTAAAGTAGCCATAATTTAACAGGATCAGATCATTAATCTTCACCGCCCAACCTGCGTATCTTAGAGCCCCTGACTTTAAAAATGAGATTCTGCATGGCTGATAAAATTCGATTAATGTGTCCAGGAGAGTAAACTATATCAATCTCCCAGATCCCTCAAACTATAGTGGATTAATCTCAGTCTCAGTCCCAATTTCTTCTCTAATCCCTTCCGGAGGAATTACATAAGAACAAACAAGACAGAGTAATATAACCCTCTGACTGTCTTTATAGATGTGTTGTTATGTCATCACTTGTGCTATTTTTGTAGAGCCGTGAGTAGATGTAGGAAACTCACTACAAGTTATGGCAATGTCAGTGATATGAGATTATATTCCAAACATATACACACCCACGGGGAGATGCTTCAGCAGCTTTTATGTTGGCCTTCTTAGATGAGAACTACTATGAGCATTTCAGTAATAGAGCTGTTATATCTGCCCTTTGTCTGCAAAACAGCCATCATTGTTCTTGGTGGTATGGACAGACACTGTCTGTACAGTCTCTGGATGATAAATGGTCTACACGTCCCTCTCAGTGCCAAGACAAAGGAAATAATCCGCCTCTCTGCCTCGTTGGTCTCTCAAAGTTTTAGGGATAATAGGCTCCACAGCTTTAAATGGATAGGTCCAGGAAATGGAGCGGGGTATTAAGGAAAGTAAATCATTGACTTATTTCACTGGCTGATTTAGCTATGACATCTCTTTAATAAGCATACTGGCTAGTGGCTACTGTGCTATCCCTTTTACTGCATGTCAGGAGGTGATAATGTCCCATTTAGCCTGGCTGAGCATGCAGCTTTGCATCGTGGCTGGCTACAGTTTTCTCTCTAATAGCATTGAGATGAAACCTTTTTCTGTTTTCTCTTCAGTTACTGTTTTATTTTTGGATTTTCTTTTTATGTATCCTGCTTTATTCCCCTCTTAGTGTTCTCTGTGTAACAAACAGATAAATTAGTCACAGATTTTTTATAATTATTGTATTTGCTGTACAATGGTTGGAAATTGGCAAAGTTATGACTTGAAATAGGGAATATATGATCAAAGATTGCTGTACGTACAGTAAACACAGCATGAGAAAGCATCCAGTGCTAATTGTCAGTACTTGATCATTTTGACAAGAGAAGAGGTGGGGATTTTCAGCGTTGGTATTTGAGGCCCGAATCAAACTGGAAACTAGAAAAAAAAGTTAAAATCATAATTAAAGATATTTTAACGTAGTGGTAGCATGCACCCTGAAAATATCAATACGGCATCTAGCCCTGAACCCAGTGACAGACTGAAGTTCAGAGACGAAAGAATCTGAGAATAGAGTGCTGTAAAGTTATCAGTGTGTCAGAGAGCGACGCACCCTGTACCATGAAAGCATACTAGCCTGGCACCCACCTCAGTTGGGTGCCATCTATCACCTTTGAGGATGCCAGGTAATTCTTCCTATATTTTTATTAGAGAGATGTACCATTGTGACATCAACCTGAACATGCGTCATCTGAGATATGCTCTTCAAAAGTTTTGCTTCCAAGAGGACTCGAAAAAACTCAGATGTGATGGATAGAAATAACCCGGTTCAGCTTTTCTATTTGACTGTGTGGCTCTCTGTGTGGAGTATAATCAGTACTGTCAACCTCTCTGACCATACAACCTTTGTAATGCGTTTGTCCCTGTTGGATCACACTCTCTTTACTATTCTACAGGCCCCAGAAAGTCTTCTGGAGTCCCTGGAGACCCATCTTAACACACTGGAGGGGAAGAAGCCGTGAGTAGTTCAATATACATGCGACCTGTTCTGTTTGTTAATTGTTTACCAGCAGTAATGCAGAGCTGAAGCTTAAATAATCCTGTAATTATACAGTTCCATGGTCTGTGTGATTCACTAACATGTTATTTCCTCTGTCTTTACTCAAATCAGAGAGGATAAGTAAGTATTCTCATCAGTTAGGATATTATTTTACCCTCATTTGTGTTGATAAATAACCCTCATCAGTGATTCTATAGAAATGACATCTGAACAAGCAGCTGACCTTTCTATTGTTGTGTACTATAACTTAGTTCAAGATGCAGTTCTATAGAAAGCCCACACTGTTTATTTTTTCTGTAAACATTATGTTTACATTGGTGACCTAACATAATTTGCATCATTGTTGCCATTGACACACTGTACTATGGCAGATCTTGCCTCTGACAGGTGATGTCAATACTAACATATTCATGTTTGCCATCATCTGCCCCGACTTTTACAAAGCTTGGTGCCATCCAGCTCTTACTTTTTGTCTCCAACGTTGGACAGCAAAGCTTTGTTAAAGAGGATCAGGGGCCAAGATACTATTTCTCTACAGTGCAGCGTGGATCCATTAATTGCAGATGTTTTCTAAATGGAAATGCTGCCTGCCGAAAACACCAAAGTGATACTTAAGCTGTCACTTTGCCTCCCATCTCAGTAACAGCCATTATGTTTCAGCATGTACATCATTAAACTCTTTAACTCATGTGCTATTGCTATTCTTGCAGGTCACCTACTAAGGTAAGCGTTCATTATATTCATATTGTAGTGGTAATGATAGTTTTTATATATACAGTATATAAAGTTAAAGGTTATATAAAGCACAGTTATTTGGGTCTTAACAGACCAGTGTATGAATTAAAGACTGTAAATGCTAAATTCGACTTTTAACTTCATCCTTAACAGTTGCTACTACAGTCAGACAGGCAGTGATTCATTGTGAATTCAAGCATTAAAAAGCTGCTGAATCACATCAGCTTACATAACCCTGTTGGTCACCATTAACTTTCTCTGCAGCAGGATGCAACAGCCAACAACAGCTCGCCGGCTGCTGCCGATGCGCCGGCCAAACCCGCACCTCCCGCTGCCACCGGCGGGCCCCCTGCTCGCCCCGGGCCACCTGCCAAACCTCCTCCACCCTCTGTCACCCCCACCGCACCAGCCCGCACCACCACTACAACTACCAAGTGAGAGTCACTCAACAATATTAGTATTTGATATAAGTGTTTGAACTGAGCTGCATCAATATTACGTTAGAAAATGCATTCCCTCTGTCAACACGCCCTCTTTCTTTCTTTCTTTCTTTCTTTCTTTCTTTGTAGTGCTCTCGATGATGGCTTCTTGTTGGATCTAGACCCCATGTCCTCCTCATCAGCAGGGGGCACTGCAGTGACTTCCTCCATGACTGGATGGGGAGGTGAGAACTTTCTCCTCTGTCAGTAACATGGATCTGTATTAAGAGAAGTGGATACAGAGTTGGAGGTGGAGCATGAAGCCAAAACTTAGCCAGATGAATTCATTCTGCACACTACAGACTGCCACTGGCCAAGCCGGCTAACTTCCGGTTTAGCCCTCGGCTATAAATAATTTAATCTTGTGAATCTTCTAGACTTTAGAAATGTTATCGGACAGAATGGATGAATTTCTAAAAATGAAAATACTGTCGCTACGCCCTATCTATCTTTCTGTTCTGGCCTTGCACATTATGCAGTTTATAATGATATCAGTGGCAAATATACCTCTTGAAATTCTTAGTAATCTTTTAAAACAGCGAGTCCTTGATTTCAGAACAGCGGCTTCTCATTTCCAGCCGGCAGCCATTGCTTTTGCTGGATGAAATGAGAACTTTTGCTAGCAGATTTTGAGAGGATGTAGCTATCTAGCTAATTCAGCTAACATCAGCACCACTATCTCCGTCTGACTTTCTATTACACAGCCTACTTGTTTGCATCTACAAACAGTTTTAGACTTACACTTTAAACACAAGAAAATGTTCACAGTGAAGGTACAGTGAATTGTGAAGAAGGATAATTTTTCCAACATGAGCCGTCAGCCTACATAATAGTTTGTTAGCTAATGATTTTCTGCTTGGCTTTAAAAGTAACGCTGGCTTACTACTGTAGGCGGTAAGCTAGTTAGCCGGGCATGCTAATGATTGCAGCTTCTATTCGACAAGATAAACACACAGTTTAACACTCAGTTTTGTTTCTGGTTTTAGAAAGACTTGAACGACAATCCCAAACCCTTTAAATGCTGAGTGTCTCTCTTACTACAGCCCCATGCACTCTGCTTCAACACGAGGAGGCATCCATGTTTGACAGAGCGAGGGGGTTAGCAAACGGCCAGTTTGCGCTAATGCCAGAAAAAAATATTGATTCACCTAAACTTGAATGTACTTACAGAATAAATATGAGCGAGTGATGGAGCATATTTAATAGACTTAAATTTCGTCAGATTCAAATGGACCATGCTGATGTTTCACATGTTTCATCCCATTAACTACAAACTCTTTTAGTTTACATTAGTGTGGATCATTTTCCAAAGCAAACAGTGAGTCCAGGTCCCTTAATACCGCAGTAAAAAAAAAAAAAATTGCTGCTAAGAAGAGACAGGAAGAAGGAAATCAATTTAAAAATCTATGGTATGCTTTGATAAATGATCGGCAGCAATATCAAATAAAGTTTGAAGTAAATGAGCTGAAACAAACTCTTTTAGAATGACTTCTTGTAGTTACAATAAAGAAGTGGTACCCGCATTGATGTTTTTTTTATTATTGGAAAATGTGGTTTAAATTAGAGAGCATTTCCATTATAGACGTGCTTTTGCTGTTTGGCATCCCCTCTGTTTATCCCCACATCTCCACTGATAGCCTGAAGATGGCCAGAGTCCCACAGTAGCCTTTCAAAGCCTAAATTACATTAAGGAGCTTTTAGCAGTATTAGGCTTTACCACTGGTCCATGTCTGTTTTTTTCTGGCTTGTTCTCTATAATGTTGGCAGCTTGCAAATGAAAGATTTATACATTTCATCAGATCATCTTAAAAATCATACCTCGGCTGTTCACGCTATCCTTCATTGTCTCTCACCTGTCTCTCTCTCTCTGACTGTGCAGATCTCTTGGCTGAGGGTGAGTATTGTATTGACAGCACTCTGCTACACTTTATTTTTCACTACCCAACTTGGCTTTCTACCTGAAGTTCTCTTTTCTTAGTGTCAAGCTATTTTCACCTGTAGTACCTAAATCCTTCCTGCTAAGCCTGTCTATTTTATTTTTTCTGTCTCTTTGACACTGCCTTCTTCCTCCCATTTCCTTTTTTCTCTTATTTCTCTCTTTCGGGGGTTGTGACTGGGTCGTGGCATTTGGATTACGGGGTTTATCCGCATAGCAACTCCCGCTGCCTCCGATGAAGCCTCTGAAGCTCTCCTGGCGGAGGGAGAGTCCGCTGACGCTGATGCTGAAGCTGCTGCTGCCCCTGCAGCTTCCGCACCCACAACCGCCGTCACTGCCGCTCCCACTGCCGCTGCACCGGCTCCCGCCTCTCTGCCTGTCTCAGCTCCCGCCACCACCTCAGCCACAGACCTCGATCTTTTCGGAGGTCAGTCTGGTCCAAGGATAGGATGTCGACCAGGATACACAGCATTACAAGAAACCCCCTTAGTGTTTACTTTCCTTTAGTATAAAGTGGGTATATAGAGGATTGGGATTTGATTATCACTTACTAAACTTTGCATTGCAACTGCTAATGTATTCATAAGGAGTGCTACATTATAAAACCACAAAAGGTATATAGGCTTTCGTCTAATCAGATTACACATGTATGTGCATTCAAAGTGTATAAATGTACATTATGACAAGAAGATAACACCTTATCCCCAGTTTGTGCCTCTCGTGTATTACCATCACATTCTAGTCACAGAGATGCACTTTTTAAAAAAGGAATCTCCTGGCAGTCTTTGAAAAGTGTTTGACAACATTTACTGCTTTCAAAGGCATTCAAAGACTGCCGGGTATATATTTTTCATAAAGTCAGACGCTGTCAGTGCTGTGACTAAACTCTGATGGTTTTCTATCCTAACCTATTTCTAATGTTTTAACATCCTGTTACAACCATGTACACTAACTTTCTGACATAATGTCAAGCTGTCACACACTGTTTTGCATTGAGCACAGAGCAAAACATTTACCATTTGTGGCACATCCCTAAAATATGAGTCAGTATGGTGGATGAAGGGGATTACTTACTTTTCTCTGGGTTTATTCAAAGCTGCACAAAAACACTAATGATGTTTTCACATTAATGTGTTGTTAACATTCAGTGTTTTGTCATTATTGTGTGCACCTCAATAAACTCACTGCAATGTAATTAATCTGTTATTATGACTTGTATTTGGGGGATTGGCCGCTTTTTGCTTTTTTTGTTCATCACCCTTAATGATTTTCTCCCTAATGGCCTACTAACGGTTTCATAAACGTTTCAAGATGGGGAGTAGCTGGATTTAATTTAATTTAGTAACAGCTGAAAAGAGCCAAATGAGTTTTTTTGTCAAAGAGAGAACTTGCCTCGTCCATCCCTGACATTTTCCCTCTTGTCACAGAGTACAAGTAACTTGTGACAACTTGCCTCATTTCACAAGCCTGCACAGGTAGTGCACTCACTGAATGCAGCATTATGCAGCCCTTCAAAACGGATGGTACAATCAGATCATTCACTGCAGGAGCCGGGCTGCATATTTCTTGTATTCTTTGCTTTTTCCTGATGCTGACCTCTCATTTTTGTTTCCTGTCCATTCCATCTGTTTACTCATCTTTTGTTCGTAACATCCATGTGTCTGTCGGTGTGTTGGCCCTGGTGTTATGTTTTTGCGTTTGCGTTCCGGCTGTTTTCGTCTGCAATACCCTAGATGCGTTTGCACCTTCCCCAGGAGATGGTCCTGCCGCCGTGGCCGCGGGCCCCGCTGCTGATGCATTTGGTGGATCTGGTGGGTGACAAAACAGCTTATTGGGCAAGTGTGTGAGTGTATGGATGTGTGTGCAAATGTGGAAGCTGTTGTTGCTTTTATTATATTGAAGCTGCTTCTGCTTCCATAGAAGACAGTAGAACAAACACGTGCCCTCAGGGCCTACTGTCTCACCCCAAATCCTGCTCTAATGCCCCAGTCATGGACCCTCCCCTCCCTCATCTCGACTACTCTTTTCCTCCTAATATTCACCCAGTGAATAGTAAAAAGCACAGCTATGAACCATACTGTAGTTCTAGAATGAATACCACTTGTTGTTAATTCCGTGACCCTGATACTAACTGATTATGATGATTATCATAATCATTGTCAAACCTTTTTTCTTTTTCAGTTTTTAGTAACTCTCTCTTTGGCCCAATATATATAGGAGGACAATGACTGGAGCAAAGCCAGTGCAATTCTATCTCGCAAATGAGCTTTTTTAAATAAACTATAAACTTTAAGATACATTTAGTTTGTGTACAGCATACTAACCACAGCAGTAACACAGTGCAGTTTGGCATTAACTTTATTCTGCGCTTGAAACTGTTTGGAAAAACTCAAAAAAAGTAATTGGATCTGTCCTTCATTGTCTATCACGGGTGAACTTTAACCAATCAGATCAACAAACTGTAGTCAAACTGTCACTGAAGCTGTTGGGAGAAGAGCGGGAAAAGAGACGTTCTTTTCTCTTCCTTCAATGAAGAAATACTCTTATATGCTAGCAGCATCTATGCTAATCTTTTCAGCAGTCGACATTGTTGTTTTTGAGCAAATAATCACGCACGTTGTCAGACACCAGGCGTTAAACCACACCCGTAGCTCACACTATAACTGCTAGTAGTTCCTCGTAGGATGCTGATTGGTCAGGTGCCACTGTGGTTCAGACACAGACACATAGCTTGAAGCCTGGCAGGATGGATTCTCGTGTGATCTCGTGATCTTGCAAGTCCAACTGCCTCGCAAGGTTAAGGGACACATGGATAAAAGACCAATTTCGAAAGTTAACCAAATATTGTTCTACACTCCCAACTGTAGTCAGTTGTTATTAAGTAAAGAATTCTTCCCCACTGTCTGTTGTAACCTGTGGATGCAGTCAATGAGTGACCGTGTGCTTGGTTTACTTTCTTTGTACCTACTCCTGATTTGGAGCTTCAGAGGTATCTTGCCTCTTAAATATGCTTTTTACAGTGTTTGTTTCTTTAACAAACCCTCAACCCCCCCTTCCCCTTCCCCTTCCCCTTCCCCATCCAACCCCTTCCCTTCTTCTCTAATCATAACCCCCCCTAACCCTTTAACACCACCTCCCTGCTGCTTTTCCTGAAGACCCCTTCGCTACGACGGAGGGGAGTGCGGACATTGCTCCAGAGCTGGACCTGTTCGCTATGAGGCCCACCGACACGGTGTCCACCACCATCACCCCTCCCACCTCTAGTGAGGCGCCGACCATCGTCGTCCCCATCGCTGCCCCCGCTGCCCCCCACCCCTTCTTCCACCACCACCACTACCACCACAACCACCACCGACACCACCACCACAGAGTCTGCAGCCGCTCCGACTCTAGATATCTTTGGTGGTAAAGTCCTCTCGCTCTCATTATGCGTCTCACTGCATTGCCCTGCATTATGACAATGATGATGATATAGGATTTGATCATGATGATGCTGCTCTTGCTAGTGATGATGATGACAGTAGTGACAATGATAATAACCTGCCCAGTCCCTACATTTCAGATTTGTTTTTCTATTTTCCATGGTGCCTTTCCTTCAGATACAGATCATTTAATCCCGTTAATCAAGCATCTTGACCTCCTCTGCACAATTGAAATATAAAAAAATCAATAAAGTCAATTGTGTATGCTTTTTTAAAAGTTAATTGATTATTATCTATTGTTTGGGGACCAGAATCTATTTGTAAATTTACTTAATAACAGAGGTGGCTCAACTTGTTTTGATTGTTAATACTAATACTAACAAACAGACTGTCAACATTTAGAGGGAAGAAAACTGTTTTCTTCTCCTGCTTGTGACCAATGTTTTATTCTGACAGCTGAGAATGCCTTATTGTAGCGTATGCACTTAAGTTAAAAGGGAATATTGCTCAATGTCAGAATTCGTATATGCTATGGGTTTCCCTCGAGTGCTCCAGTTTGGTCCCTCAGTCGAGACGTTAGGTGAATAGGTGACTCCTAGGTGTCCATATAAAGCTGCCCAATGTGAGCTGGGACGGGATCCAGCCCCCTTTGATCTTGCACAGAATAAGTGAGCATAATGAGTGAGCATAGGCTATTCCTATGATCTGGAAAACAGCTATGCGTAATTATGCATAAGAAACAGCTAACTGCTGCCATGAAATTTCTATGGACATTCATGGTCCCAGAGGATGAATCCCACAGACTGTAGTGGTCCACTGATTTTTCCTCTGGCGCCACCAGCAGGTCAAATTTTATTCATTTATATTGTGAAATATCTTGACATCTACTGGATTGATTGGCGCAACATTGCGTACAGATAATCATATTTTATTTCAAAAAATTTCATCTTGCACCAACATTGGTTGACTTCTTTGGTTAACCATGTCTACAATCATTTCTGGATATATATTAAAAATGCTTAGATAATATGCCATCATGCTGAAATTTGGCAATATACCCTTTTAACTTTTGCACTGTTTCATTTTGCATTGCACTGAACAGATACACAGCAGCTTACCTGTTTGATAATCAAAATGTCTGCTCTCTCTGCTTTTCCTCATCTCTCTTCTTAACTCATCATTGTATGCACTGGACTTGAAATCTGAATGTACATATGATTGTGTGTCCTTGTTCTTAGATATGTTTGATTCTATGCCTGAGCAAAGCCCTACCACAGAATCCAAAGCTGCTACCACTCCTAGCGTAGACCTTTTTGGTGCAGGTACAGGAGTTGATATCCATTTCTCTATGTGTGGAACCTCTTCATCTCTTCTGGTTTCCATACCTCCACTCCTCTGTCAACTGTTTTTTTTTCCCAACACGTCTTGGTTTGTCCCCATAGTGGTATGAGAACTGTGCATGTAACCCACTCGTCAAGTCTTGGATTGTCCTTGTGGCTGCTTTCTATCTACACTGTCTTTCTACCTGCCACGCTAATACTTTTCTTTGCTTCCCGACCTCCACGGTTTTCTTCTTTCTCGTGTTCTGCCTCTCGCTTGCGTTGGTAAATTAGACCTTCCTGCTGTTTCACGCGGGCCCTCACCTTTGCCCGAGCCGGTTCCGACTGGAGACATCGTGACCGGTGAGTTAAGCTGCTTCATCCTTACTGCATCACTGTTTTCCCTTCCTTTTTTCGTGAAGAGTGCAACCAGCCTCATGGAGGTTTTTTCATGGTGCGGGTGTCTGCATGCATATGCACACCAGTCCTGTACATCTAAATGGTGCACGCTTCAAGGATGTGGATACACAGTTAAGATGCAGGGGTGCCTGCTTTCTGCTCCTGCTTTTTCTCTGCATGTCTGCTAGCCTTTTAGAACAGGCAGAATAACAGTGTTTGAGCAATGCATTCTCCCTGTGGAAATGAAGCTTTCACTGATGAATGTAGTCATTTACATTTGAGAGTAATTTAATCTCCTCCTTCTTTCTCTGTTCAGATTCCTTCACATCTCCAGCTCCTGTTGCTGCTCCTGTTGCTGCTCCTGCTGCAGCTCCCGTCCCAGAGGTCTCCTCTCCACCCAAAGCAGCAGAGCCGGCACCTGTCATTGACCTGCTGGGTACTGTACCTCAGAACACACATACACATCTCTTTACAACAACATATGCTGCATGTAAATTGTTAAATTTCAACTTTAGTAGTACATTTTATAATTTTACTTTTCTTTCGTCTGGGTTTTTTTTATCATCAGTTGTTACAGTAAGTTCATGAGTGAGTGTTTGTAGCAAAGAGGTTGATATTGTGTAGATGTGATGATAGACTGTAGGAGTTAGTGCAAAATGAGTTTTTTGGATTAGACTGCAGACAGATCATAGATATAGAACAGACAGTAGCTGGCAGTAGCCACCAGTGATATTCCCGAAGTAATTATTACATCGTGTGCTTGTGTGTGTCTCTGTCTCGAAGGGAAGTTTTATTTTAAAGTCAATTTTCTGTAGTGCTGAAATTTTAGCCTACTGGAGTAAAAACAGGAGGTGTTCACCTTACTTGAGGAATTCAGCATGACGTGGCTAAAGGTATGTTAAGATATCCATCTGTTGGTCCAGCCCAGAATGGATTGGCATAAAAAATATTGGAGACATTCATGATTCCCAGGAGATGAATCCTTGAATCAGGCTGACATCTTGCTCTTGAATCACAGTGAAATTTGCTACAGATATTCAGTCCCATAGACAGAGGAAAACTTCTTTCCACTTTTACTCATTGAGAAAGATGGGAATGGATACAAGCATTGTCGATATTCCATTTAATTTCAGCAATATTGTTGGACGGAATATAAGGATAGATTGATTTCTTCATTAAAAATGTATGAGAGGTGGCTGTTGCATTATGATGCCTATGCAAGATTCACAATATTTTTCAATGTGATTTTCTTGCTAAACCAGTTTATGCATGCAATACATTTATAATTTAACCAATAAAACCACAGTATTACAGGTAGTTTTGTGAGAAATACAATCATTGCAACATAGTAAATCACATCTCCACAGCACCATGTGACATTATTTCAGCTGTTTACAAAACTGATAACATTCCCATCAGTCTCAGCTGGCTAAAATGCTAAACCTCACAGCCTCACAGAGCTACTAGCGTAGCTGTAGACGCTTTGTCTCGTTGCTGTGTATCACTCCTCCACTTCCACTTCCAGGAGAAATATAGCAACATGTGGAAATGAAATGGTCTCAGATTCTTGCAGTTATGTTATGAAAATAGAACTGAGCATACAATGTATATATTGAGGTTAATATTCTTCCTAAAAGGAATGACAGAAAAGGTTCCATCATGGCTGAAAATCTTTCTCTATCCACTCTAACATTTCTTTTTCCTTAATGTCATTGGACTTTTTTTTTTGCTTTTTTTTTTGCTTTACGAAGATAATCTTGTCTCCTACTCCCCACTGTGTCCCCATGTGTGGTCCAGGGCTGACCTCTCACCCCTTTCTGCCCTCCATGCTGCATTGTGGATAAATGGACGGCCCTGCAGACTCCTTCGGCAGTCCTGTGGAGGAGACACAGAGTGTTGCTCCTGGAGGGCCCGGAGACGACCTGTTGGGAGGTGAGACTCCTCTCCTCCTTTTTTTGTTTATGCTGAAGTGATTTTTGTATAAATAATGGTTCAAGTCAAAGGACCAGCAAATTTTGATAAGATGTCGGCAAAGAGGTTTTTGCTGATTAAGAAATTATGCAGTAATGATGGAGATGCATTTATCAAATTAATAATGACACAGACTTGGCAGGACTGGTTAAATGATATTACACAGCAGTTCCAAATTAGCTTTGGACTCATTTGAAAATGTCCTCCTAGTGATGTCATTGCCAATTTCTTGCCCATCTCATTTCTGTCACTGTTTTATGGCCATTATTTCATGCATAAGAACACAGTTGTCTTTGTTATGACCTTTTTGTTGACCTTTGTACACTAACAAATAGAAAATTGTCAACACACTCAACATACAGAATGCATGCAGACAGATTCTGCTTGCATGGTAGCTGTTGTGAATATACTTTCAGTATGCTAAATTTGAATGCAGAACCTCATGTGCACCCAACCCATTAGTAATAATGACTCATACATGCAAGCACTCTATGAAGCTTCAGTATCACCTTGCAGTTTTACATTGCATTGAAACCCTGGATGTATTGTACAGTAAGCTTTTGTGTGTAAGATATTATCAGATTGTTAAGACTGATGCATTAGTGCATAAGCAGTATTTTATTGTTGCAGCTGGTGGAGGTGGAGCTAGTTTTAAATACTTTATATAAGGTCACAAGATAAATCTGTTGAGAGAGGCCTATTGTGGTAGGAAAGGATAAAAACTAAGTTCTACTACAGAAATTTAAATTTATTCTTTCTTTATTCTTTACTTTTTGGGATAGATTGGATAACTTGGATAACGTAAAATCACTCTTTGGTTGAACTGCTGACAACTCAAAAACATCTGAAACATGACAACGTTCCTTTTATATAAGGGGTCACAAGCCTTTATAGTCTAGTATTGTTCTCATAGATTTTACATTCATTTTCTTGTCTTGATGCACTTTACTGTGACATGTCCCACTCAGATACTGTAATACATACCATATTTTTCACACATTATTTTAAATAACATCGTGATGTAACTGGTTGAGTAATATGCTAAATGATATTTTAATTCTCAGCACTGTACTGCTACTGCACTGATTGACTTTCCCCACTGACAAATGTCACATCCAGTGATCATATCCAATGTGCTTTTGTAATGGAGTTAGGGTGACTGACAACAGTACCACATATGATGTCACAGTTACAGTCCTGTCTGTAATCCCCCGCAGGCCTGATGTCCCCCACGCTGGCTCCCACTGCTGTCCCAGCTCTGGCTCCAGCCTTGGCTCCTGCCCTGGTGCAGAACGACCTCCTGGAGTCGGGCTTTGACGCTCTGGGCTCCCTTACCTCTCCAACACCACCTGTACCTGCTGTAGTGGCAGTAGTACCAATAGTACCAGCTGCACCAGAACCAGCAACCACCACACCGGCGCCCTCTGGTGGCTTCGATACTTCAAGTAAGTGGCTCATAATATCTTGTAAAAGATTTATTTTCCATTTTTGTTTCATTTCAGTACTCTGTTTCATTGTCATGCCTTGTGAAATGTGAAATATTAGATTTCAAAAGCTATTTTAAAGGTCTTCTGCTTGATGTCATTTAATGTGCTCTGAGTCATTAAAACTGAGCTACCTTAACCATGACCTAGTTTTCTCTTCCTGCTGGGAGCTTGACTACTGCATGAATGACACACTGACATGTGCTGCTGTCACTGTCCTTCTTATTGCTGCTGACCGCTTAACTCCTCAGCACTGCTGCCTCTCTTGCAATGATTCTTTTCTCTCGATCTGTTCTCTTGTACTTCTCACACTCTCACAAATGCTGTGCTTTCTCCACCTTCTGCTCACCCCCCCCCCTGCAAAATCTTTATTTTTTCTTTCTTTTTGCTACACTTTTTCTTCTGCTCCATTTTTATTTTCCTCTTCACCCCTATCCACACTCCTTCCACTCTGCTGGCTCATTGCTTGCTTCTTCTAATCTGTAATTGGTGAGTTCAACCTTGCTGTGCATTGCAGTTTGGACAAGTCTCCCTTTCTGCGTCTTTGCATGTTGCAATAGGACCCCTGATTGTCTCCTGCATGAGACAAGCCTTACTGTATTGTTGTTTGTACAATGCATCTTTATTTGCCTTTTGTCTTTTAGAGCAGTGGCTCTTAAAGTAATCATATGCCATCGAGGCCCGAGTCTGCAGTAGAGTCTCAGGGCTTCATTCCAATTCTACAGCGCTACAGCAACATATTTCAATGATATATTTTCCTAAGTGGCCCATTAAACAGCATCACATTGTAGTGAAAACCATTACTCTTTGGTTAGAGGTCAGAAACATCAAATATTGACTTGTTTCTGACCTTTCACCTTGTGAAGCCTCTAAAATAATCAAAATGAATCATTTGTTCATTATCTCTTAGTGCTGCTGTTCCCAACCAAACCTACCTATACACCAGCGGTTACTTATGCAGTTGTTAACAAACAGTTGAACTGTATTATAACGCTATTGTTTTAATTAATAGGGTTAAGTAATATCCAGTGTCTAACACATTTGGAACATGGAAGGTGGTGCTGATGAAGGGTTACTTCATCACCAGTACGGGTACGGCAGTAAGTTCATCTGGGCTGTGGTGGTACATCAGACAAAAAAAGGTTGGGGTCCACTGCCTTAGTGAATACACCCTCAGCCAACATTCAACAACACAGTGCTTGTGTAGTGGTTAGTTGGAATGAAAACCTGTAAACTCTTTGGCCCTGATGACACCTGGTTCAGAACCAGTGCTTTATTCCAAAATCAACCAGTGTTCCTGAGATGTCACTAAGTAAACTGTCTGAGCAGCTAGCCAAGCCAGTGCAGTCCCTGAATGCTCAAATACATTTACGGTACAGTCCTACATTGTGCATGCGATGCACAGCTGACTACTGATGTTGTCACAGCTGGGTTGTCCCCTTCACCGTACCGTCTGGTCTCACATCTGCCATCTGCCTGTGTTGTAGCTAGATTAGGAATTTGCAGGTTAGTAATCCGTGTTGTTTCTCTGATGTCCCACCCTCTCCCCAAGTGTTGGGGATTGGATTAGGTGATTTGCTGATGCCCGCCGTAACTCCCCAGAGCACTGGTGGCAGCACTGCTGGAAGCACAGCAGGAAGCATGGGGACTCCTGTCGCAGCGGGAGGCATTGCAGCCGCTCCCCCCGCCACCCCACCTCCTGGCAAAACCATCGGAGGAGACCTGGACTCCTCACTGGCCAACTTGATTGGAGGTAGACTGCAGATTTTCTTATCTGGAGCTCAGTCATTTCTGGTTATAATAAATACTTGAATGGAAGTTTAACTCGTTCTTCTTCCTTTCCCCTACTCAGACCTTGGAGTAAAGAAAAAGTAAGTGCATGTTTACAAATGTGAGTTCTATAAATGCATGATGCTGCATGTGTCGGCTTACACATGTATGCAGAGTCTTTGCAAACAACAGAAAGATTCTAAAGTCTTTAGATTATTTAATTTTATGATATAAAGAGCCACAACACTCTCAAGGCTGATAAAGGTCTCTAGTAGGGATGTAACAATACACTTAACTCAAGATTTGATACAATTCATTTTTTACAATTTTTTACAAAAAAGACTGAAGACAGATTATCTATCCATCTACTAAATTTATTTTCTCTTTTTTTTTTTTATGTCTGAGGAAGGTTTATAAACTGCAAAAAAGGCCTGTTTTCTTTTGGGAAATGAAACTGAATTGGATAAATGAGTGTAGGAAACCTGTGTCCTTTTGTGTGCGGTCACTGCATGTCCCATCTGTTAACCTACAACTTACTTTCTGTAGTCACCACTCCAAGTATTAGCAGTAAAATGGGACAAACTGCACAGTAGACTGAGGTGTATCCTGTGATCTCCTTTAGGGACCCACAGAGTGAGAAGAAGCTGACAGGAGGTGCCAACTGGATGCCAAAGGTAGCTCCCACAAGCTGGGGTACACCAGGAGCCCCCATGGTAAGAACAGCATGAATAGCACACCATGATATCACGCTTCATCAAAAAGCAGTTTTTTGCTGAGCTTAGAGCTGTACCTACTGCCACAGACTCATACATTTTCCTTTCTCTAAACATCACAAACAACAAAGCTGAAAAAAGCTTAAATTTGTTATTGTTCATTCATTTTTGAAACTGTGGTGCAATCATGTGAATGTTGCAGTTCCCACAAGCTGTGGCTTTGTAGCTGATATTTTAAGCACATACAGGTTTTGCTGATGTACCCTCTTGTTCGTGTCTCTCTAGGCTGGTGCGGCCCCTGGAGCTCCTGGGGCACCAGGAGCCGCTCCACCTGGTGCAGCAATGGTGCCACCAATGAGTGCACAGCCTGGCTTTGGCATGGTGAGTTCTATTTTATTCACTGTGAAATGAATTCTCTATAGTTTTACTGTGAGCCTTTCGGCTTTTGAATCTACAACTCATAACTGCATGTATGTAGATTACAAATATATAATGTCCAGCTCATCTCAAAGGTAAATGATGATTAATCTGCGTAGCTTTCTGAAATCCCAATCTGTTGTGTTGTCCCTGTCTTGCCAGCCTCCTGCAGGAGGACCTGGAGCTCCCATGATGCAACCCATGATGGGGCAGCCTATGATGGGACAGCCCATGATGAGACCTCCCTTCACTGGGGTGGCTGGAGCTGCACCCGGAGCCGCTGCACTTGGAGCACCGGTAACAAAGCACACATAGTAAAGCCCTCAGTGACCAATAAGGCCATTTGTCTACACACACAAGTTATACTTTTATACATCAGTATATCATTTTATGTCAAGAACATTCATTATATTGTCACAAAATGCTTTCCCCACCACTTCGTATCTGGTCAATACATGAAGTTGTGTTTTTCCTATTTCCTCAGCTTTCTCCAGGACTTGCAAACCAGAGCCCCAAAAAGCCCAAGGACCCTCTGGCAGAACTCGACCTCAAGGACTTCTTATAACGCTCTAGGTGGGAGCTCATACAAATAGTATGTGTGGAGTGTTTTTTAGTGCTAAAAGACTGTGAATAAGTATGACCTCCCTACTTCTGAATGTTCTGTTTTAAATGAAATCTTTGTTGGGTTGCTGTTCCAACTTTCTTCCTTATTAAACACATTTCAGTGGCATATTGAAAATGAATAGTCTCAAAATTATTCAGATTTCACTGGATCATAGCTACTCATCACTGCAATTTAGGGGACCATTTTGACTGTGTGTGGAGTGCTTGAACCTCTTTTTTAATCAAAAACAACAAAGAACTACACAACTCTTATGTTGAAATGTTCTCTGCTTCCTGTCTTCTAGCTGCTTTCTTCTCTGGAGCAGGGCCCTCTCACCTTTAACCTGGTGTCTGTCAACATCTCAGGATGCCAGCGATGTTCAGCTACTCAACCTTCTAAGAGCCTCTTTTTCTCCACCCCGCCCATCAACACCCCACCCTTCTCCTGTGTGATGTCGTAGCACAAACTGTGAAAGTGAACCATAGCGGATTATATATATATGAGAAAAAAAAAGTGTGCTTATGTAGATGTACTAATCTTTTGTCTAAACAAAATCACTCAAAACCCTGACAAAAAAAGTCCACAAAAGTAAGTGAGAGAAAGTGAAGGCGTACGTGTTTAGATTTCTTTCTTGTGTTGAGTTGAATGATGGATGTGCTTTGGTGTCCTAAGCTCCACCCACTGCCCCATATGTGTCCCCGCCTCCTTGTGAAGGGGGAGGAGCTCTTCTTTGTCCCTCTCTGATTGGATGGGAGTGGTTAACGAAGCCCCGGTAGATTTTCGGAGAAACATGTTGTGTGTTGTTTACAGGGGTCCTCTTTGATGTACATAGATTTCTCTGGTGAGGATTACGTCTATATTCTGTATGTCTGTTGAAGAGAAATATAAATGTGAATCTGACATGAAATTGTAAGAAGTCGTGTGAGTATCCTTCTATTTCCCGTCATCTTTTGAAAGTATTTGGAAACAAATATGAATACTGCTATATGATTAATATACTGTATATTAAGGAACAACTTCTATGGGCTTCTGAATCATACCAGACCAGGAAGTGATTCTTTTTGTTTGTTTCTTTTTTTACTCGTGGCTCATTTTTCTATGTTTCTTTTGTCTTTTGTCCATGTTATTTTTATGTTCTGTTTATTTTAGAATAATCCTCCAGACTGCTGTCCACATTTCCTGGCATTGCTATTAAAGAACATATCTTACAACTTACTTCCAGATAAAATGCTTTAGTTATTCACCTCAGAGGTTAACTTAAACTGTCCCTCAATATAACTGTACAAGTGTCCACCTGCAGTCTTGGCACTACCTATGTGGATATGTCTGTTGCCTGTGCTTTAATTATAACTATGACCTGGTCAGTATGGTTATTTTTGTACTCAGAGTAAGTTATTCCATTGCCATACCAAACTCTATGTTCAGACAGATCAAATTGAAACAAAATTAAGTCATGTTAACTTGTGGTTTGAAATGGAGAGCAAAGAGGACTTTGCTCTATTTTAGCTGTGACTTAAAAATGCCATTGCAAAAGTCAGAACCAATCAGGAACATATTAAAGGAACCCTGTTGAGTTTTTATTTTTTTTTTCAAAAAACAAAAGAAATCTGTTTACATTCATTGTTTCTCCCAAAATAAAGCTTTGTGTGTATCCTTGAGGCCCAAAAAATGTGTGGAATCCATTTACTTTCTCTTAAAAAACACTTGAAAAGACGAAAAAACTTTCGCACCTACATTGTTTACAAACAAAACATGGGCCTGCTCATCAAAAAAACAGCTTCATTGTGCTACTAGTGGTAAAAAACTCCACAGGGTACCTTTAAGTTCCATGTTACCTGTTGCACCCAGTGCTGTTGGACAAAGTGACAGTGTGTATGTCTGCACTGCTGCTTTGACAATGTTACAGCAAATTACCTAAAAGTGAAAACACTTAGATTTGACAATAAATTCACATTTGATTGTTGTCCGAACATAATTTTTGTTCAAATTGTTCATTTGATTATTGCTGACCTTTGGCACATTGTCAATTGAACAGTACATATTGTAAGTGGCCACATGGGAGTCATGTGTACAGCGTGGAAATCCACAGGAGGCCACTGTCCGTCTAGCCATGATCTTGTTTCCCAAAAGCATCTTAACATAAAGCTCCTCTGACCCTGCAGACTTACAATGGAATCAATATGTTGATTTGCATTTGAAGAGCTTTATGTACCAGAGGTCCCAGTCCTGTGCTGTAAACCAGACTGATGTGAAGCTTACTCTGTATGTTGTCATTTCAGTGGACTGAATAAGCAATTGGTTGTGAGAACCTGATGTGATTCAGAGAAAATAATGGAAGATTATTAACATTTTTCATGACAGAATTATTAAAATGGTATTTTTGTTTAGTTGTAAATTTATTTTATTTTTTGATGACCCTCCCCAGTGCATGTAAGCCCTTTGAGGTGCAATAAATTCAATGATGGATTGAACTGCCCTTTCTTTTCTTTCATATCACAAATATTATTAAAATGTCTGTTTGAAGGAGTATTTCATGAATTTATGTCCCACCAAATCAACAGTAAGTAACAGACTGTGCACCAAGGCCAGATTATCAAACTTGCAAACATCCTGGGCCCCAGACCTTCAGAGGCTCCAAAAGCGCCAGATGCATCGCATGTCATTCGTTGTTGAGTTAGTTGAGTTAAACAATTAATTAAATAGTACAGTAACTGTTATTGGTAGTGGTCTCGTAACAATTGTTATCCACAAACCAGTGAACCGTAGATTGGGATCATTGTCACAAACACACACACACAAGTAGTAATCTTGGTTTAATGGTTGGTAGTCTTCAATCGGCATCATTCATTTTAGGTATTTGGTATTCAAAAGGAACATAAACAACAATAAAAGTAAAAAATATCACATCCCAGATTAAAATTTGTTATTATATAACAATATTGCTTTTGTCGCATTTTAACAGCTCAAGTAAATTGTTAAATGGTTCAGTCCCATCTTAACCCAACCCAAATATGTAGCCTCACATTAAAGACATAGTTACAGTACTAGGCTATCAAAATATATTCTGAGCCCCCCCCCCCCACTCCTCCCCAAAAAGTTTACAATTCCATAAATTAGCACCATGTCTTCTGGATAAGCACCGATATAATTATGTGCACAACAGTGAAACCACATTTCACTGTGTTGCAAGAACAGAGAAAAGATGGTGAGACTCACAAGTCAGAAAAATCTTCTATCCAGGATCCTTAAGGACCCTTTCTCTATTCAGACAGAAAAATAGTCTTTTTTTAAAAAGGTAGTTGTAAAAAAAAAAAAACAAGTTCTAGATATACACAATGCAAAACACCAGCTTGTTCAATTAAAATGTTTATAAAAACAGTTATCTCAATATCTCTATATAGTTCATTTGTGAAACAAGTTACATTAATTTCTCCTGGGTCTTTTGTCAAAGCCAATGCACGCACTCTTCTTTACAGTGGTGGAGAACAATGCAAGTCTCTCCATACAAAGCCTGATTGGAATATAAGGCCAATGTACCAGGACTTTGCTCCCAAATATCTGAATAAACACGTTTTCCAACATTATATCTAAAAAGGTCAAATCTTTGAAAAAAATAAAATAAAAAAGCAAAACTCAGATCAGAACGATCTGTAAATAAAAACAATACATATTTTTTTCTCAGTTGTTTTTTTTTAGCAAATAAATTAGAAAAGCTGACGAGCCACAGTTCTCTGGATGCGCTGACGAGTTCCTGTTGTCAACACCGAGTCTGTATGGCTGTTTGTGGGTTGAGTGTGTGTGGGTGTATGTGTGTGTATGGAGATCAGTGTAGCAGAAGTCACTGGGAGGCAGAGGAGGTAACAGGGAGGCAGAAGGACTAGAGGCAGTAGTTGGGCCCCTGGTTGGGAATGACAGAAGGGTGAGGGTAGTAGGTATGGTTTCCCTTGAATAGAGGTGGGAATGGAAGGGGGTGGTGGTTAATGGAGGATCCTGTGTTGTCTTAGGCTACCTGGCACTCACTCGAGTCCCCGTGGACCCAGTAGCAGATCTGGGCATATTTGAGAGGTGTTATCCTCACCGCCACGTTGTAATCCTGCTGCGTCCCGTCCCCGTTTACATCCACCCACTGGTGACCGGAGAAAACCCCAATGATCTTCCTCTTCCACTTCTTCTTGCCTGGCTCTTTCAGGCGAATGTAGACCCCAGAGCCACTGGAACCAGGTTTGGCATCGCAGTATTGGTACAACAAATCATTGGACTCCTCAGAGACGGAGCAGAACCGGTACACCAGGTTGCCAGGCCGGTCATCATCAAAGCCAGAGAAGTGGATCCTTCCGGCAGGGAGCTTCTTGAGTGAGGGGATAACACCCAGATCCATGTGCTTGACTTTTGGGGCTTTCTTCAGCTCCAGAACAGCATAGTCATAATCCGCAGCCAGTCCATCAGACACACCTTTGAACCAGCCCTTAGGCACCTGGGTCTGCTTGACCCTGGTCCACCTAAACGAAGGTTTCTCTGATTCCACACTTCGCCGACTCCGGCTCTTTCTACCTTTTCCTTTTCCTTTACGGTCCCCTTTCCCATCATTCTCTTCCTTTTCCTGCACTTCCTCTTTATCTTTGTCTCCCTTTCTCCTTTTGCCCTTTCCTCTCCCTCCTCTCCCTTTGCCTCCTTTCCCTCGTCTGGACTTTTCTTTCAGAATACCAACACGCAGCTTCTGCACCCCATCTAGATAATCCTTCCCGTCATGGATACAGTGGGCAGCGGTCAGGACATGTTTAGGTGACACAAGAACCCCAGAGCATCCTGTGGAGATCTTCACAGAGGTGGAGAAGGGATATTTGGTGGAAAACTGCTTATCAGAGATGGTGAAGCGAGTATCTGTGCCGTACACCTCTCGCTTGTGGCGGGAGCTAGACGAGATGTTTCTGGACCAGGCATTCACCTCGTTGAGGCCCTGCACAGACACTGAAGTGTACGTGCGTGTACCATTCTCATAAACCGTCTCATAGGACAGGAACTGCTCCAGGTCATCCAGAGAACTGGCGGGGAGGCGACGCTGACACTCAATCCCACAGGTCCCACTCAGCTCCGGCTGAGGACGGGCTGAGAAGTTTGGGCTGCTGAGAGGCACAGTGCGCCTTTTTCTTACCAGAGGCACCTTCCATTGCGGCCAGGTATACTCATCGTCGACTGCGTTCTCCTCAGCAGCAACAGCCACCACCACAGCCAGCACTGTGACCGGGAGCAGGACACACAGGGGTATGGGGCCCATTGTTAAGTTGGGCCTGGCTCTGAAATGTAAAGAGATAGACTCAGTGAAACTTTATGATAGATGTGGAATGATGCAAAGATCTATAGTTGCTGAATATGTACTGTAACTTTACAGCTATGTGTGACTCTAGGGATGGCAGAGTCAGTTGGTCAGTCGATCTACCATACTATTGTCATTCACCTGACTTTTCCTTAAACCATCTACATGTGGTTTACATTTTCATTTTTACTGAGACGTCTATTGGATGGACTGCTATGACATTTAATACAGGTATACAGGTGCCCCCTGAATTAAGCTGAATCTTAATTACTTATAGCTAGGTGAACCCATGACTTTTTCTCTAGTGCCACCAGTAGGTCAAAGCTTTCACTAATCCAGTGAAATATCTCCACGTCTAGATGAATTTCCACAGCATTTGGTACAGACATCCATGCCTCCCAGAAAATGAAACCTAGTAATTTTGGTGACATTTCCTCCAGCACCACAATGAGGCTGACATTTGTGGTTTTGAGTGAAATGTTCCACTATTGGATGGATTGCCATGAAATGTCATAGCATTCATGGCCCTGTCCAATATTATGTCCACTACTCTGGCATATGACCGAATACCTGCAAAACTAATGACAATCTCATCCGCAGCAACTGTACTTTGTGTTAGCATGCTAAAATGTTAAACTAACATAGTGAAAATAATAAACATTATACCTGCATGTCAGCATTGTTAGCTGATGTGCTGTGCCAAAGTACAACCTCACAGAGCTGCTTGCATGGCTGCCATGTTTATTTAAGCTAAGCAATCACATCACCATTTCAACACATTAGCATGTGACTGCCCCACCTTTCATAATTACTGAGTCACTTTAGTCTCGGGGTAAGTTCAGCATGTTGCTTGTTTAAACAGTTTCTTTCTGTTTCTGTAAAATAGAAGGTTATTAGCTCCACGTCTATCTGCAACAGTTTTTACATCGTAATTACAAAAAGCTACTGATTTAGTTTGTGACACTGATGATTTTGTGATACTTGCTTAAGTAGCTACTAATCACATCTGCTCAGTAAGGCAGAGGACATACAGTACTGCACTGCAGACAAATGATTGTGTTTGAAATCCTTAATCAGCTTTAGGAACATCCAACATGTGGGAAAACTCAGATTTCTCTAAACTGAGAAGGTCTTATATACACTGTTGACGCCTCCAGGTCTACAAAAATGAACACAGGTCCACTCATGGCCACAGGGAGGCAGTGTGGCCCAGAATATTAGAGACATTCAAGGTACCCAGAGCTCCTGTCTATCACACAGGCAGCTCAGCAGTCTGTGGCAGCACAACACACTCAGGACAATACGGTTTTTTAAAGAGCCTCCTCTTGAGATCTTAAAACATTTCTCTAGAGCTGATACATTAGCTGTGTGGTTAAGTTGAGATTTATGTCCTCTGAGTCTTACTGGAGGCTGTGGCCAGCGAGGGGGGGAGGTTGAACCCTGATCCTCTGAATGGGCTGAGACAGTGGCTTGGAGGTTTGCCACAATGGTTAACCTTCTCCTTCAGTAATGACCATATCTGGTTTCCTTAGCTCCACTCCAGTCCTTGTCCATGCATACAAATGACATCAAACAGAGAGTCCACGCAGGCTGCAGACAGCCTGCTGGTTCATGCTTCTACTGTATGAGTGTGATGCTGCCAATAATCCTGATAACCCTATAAAGAAAATTACAATTTGGGTATGTTTTAATAGATTCAGCAGACCATCACTTAAATACAGAGGGGTGCTGCATTTTGTCAGCAGGGCTGTGGTGATGAAGTCACTCAGGCCATTCCAAACACAAAGAGAGAAAATCATTTGGATGGCGTTCATTGAGGAGCGCAAATCCAACAGTTAATTTCAAACAGAAGTCCAGAGTGAAAAGCCACAGTGATTGCATTCATTCTGGCTGTTTGAGGGGTTTAAATGGTGTTTTTACAGACATGCAGACATCTGGGGCATCCAGCTGGAGGACAAACCTTTAGGGGGACAGCCAAGATTAACCAGGGGGTCCACAGACACACATTCCCTTTCAATTAGATGTTAGTGCAGCGTGAAAATGAGACCATGCTTGCATTGGCAAAACTCCCAGGAGACTCGGCTGGGAGGGAGAATGTCCAGCATCACCTGTGGACCGTGTCAGTGCTTCACCATCCATCGCAGAGATCCTGCCCAAATCCCCTCTTTTAGCTAAAACTACAAATTCCATTAAGTGCATTGTCATCCAGCTGAGTCCAGCTGCAAAGGAGACTGTTTGGCTTAAATTTACCACACAGTGTCCAATAAAACACACCAAGTGGCCAACATCTAACCAGCCCCGAAACAGACGATAATAAAATACAAGCCCACAAGAGCTGTAAAACAGTCTCCATAAATGAGAATACAGAAATGACCCTTAGTTTCTGTTTAACTTCACACTCCCACCGCCAGACCCAGACATAACACACATCTAGAAGAGAGCCTGCAATTATTCAGGATAGAGTGGAAACTGATATGCTGCCATGATGGCTCTTGGTCGTAGAAGGGGCTCATTTGAACTTTTTTCCACTGCAGTCAGCTGAACAAGAAGCTGTGCCCTCTCCATCCGTCAGTGGAGGGAGTCACAGGAACTGCAAGAAGCACCCAGGAGACACAGTGACCAAAGGATGGCGCTATGGCGCAAGTGTCCATCTCCAGCTCAGTAAGCACTGGTCACCATCTATTGTCTAGTTCAACACCAAGTTTATTAAAGGCGGTTATTGGATTCATTTCGACCTATTTTCGCAGCTTACATCTCAAGCACCGAGTGTCTGTGTTACTTTAGAGCAACCACGCAGACAGACACTGGCAGTGGCTTACAATAAGACATTGTCACATTTGGATCAAATCTTAAAAAAATGTCTAAAAAAGCTAAGCCATGTCTTTTCTCATTCTAAAACACCAAATATAAAACATATTATTATTAGAACTGCAATGCAAATAAATAGCACATTAAACTACATATCAGATTAAAGGTGAAAAAACATCTGTAACTCCACACATCTGCACATCGCGACTGTGTGTGGAAATAAGCTGGACAATGTGTCTATCTTTTGTAAAGCAACCAGTGCAAACTGTATTTAAAATATTTCAGATTAATTTAATAACGTCACTTATAATAACAATAATGAAGATAATAAGAGGCATTATTAAAAATATTTCTAAAATATAGACATAAATAAAGAATATTGTGCATAACTGAGGCTACAAAATCCGATTAAATCCATCGATAAAAAGAAAAGAAGCAACGATCCAAACGGAAAGAAATCTATTAAAAAAAAGAAAACATAGAGATATGAAATAAACTATTAAAAATAAGGCAAATAAAGACCATATTTCCCCCCATGGTTGCATCAAGAGATCCTTATAAGTGCCCAAAATGACAAAGGCTTCCTACCTGCTTGCATCCGATTGATGGATATGCCAAATCCGCAATGTATTGTTTGTTTTCCCGAGAAATATACAAATATGATCCCACTAGAAAACAAACGGGTGTTAGTGCATCCCAGACGTCCTGGTACCAGCCGGCTCCCTTCTCCTCATTGCTTCTTCAAAGAGGCTGAGAGAAAGTCGCAGCCGGGACGCTCCGCTCAGGCTGCACTTGATGCTGAGGAGGGAGGGAGGAAGGAGGGAGGAGGGGAGGGAGGGGGAAGGGGGAAAAAATCAGAAAAGGATTTTTTTTTCACTTGTGACAAAAGCTGTTCACATATGGGTGGGACCGGACCAAAAGTTCTAACTAGAGGCTGAACTGGGTGAAGTCAGTGGTGTATTGAGTCGGGAGGTGTGCTGGTGCCAGGCAGCAGGAGGACAGCCTCAGTCAGTGGGACTCTGAGTGGGCTGTAAAAGGAATTAGTTCCACTGCTCTTTACAATAGTTTCTGAGGCCTTTCCATTCTGAGCCAGTGTGAGCCTCAACATCTGCAGCGCCTTTATTCTGCAAGACCAGTGAAGTGGAAACACCAGGGATGTAGCTGCAGCTTGTGTCTGTAGATTTTACGGTGAAAAACTGTCAAACCGTGACAGTAAAAGACTCTAAATGGGCTTAATACAGTTTCTCTAACAGTAAAACACCTTCATTTATGTTGCATTTTAAAGGGATTTTTATGGAATAAAGTAGCTGTTTTATATTACAGACTGTAAATTGCTAAGAAAACCACAGTCTATCTCATTGCTTTTAATACAGTATTTATATGGTATTGCGGCCAGACGGTTTCTTTTGATGGTAATTGTGTATTTATATGGTAAAATATGGAATAAATGTTTTAAACTTTAACCATAAAATCAATAGTACTAACATCCTTTTACCGTAACAGTAGAAAGGTTTTACCATACTGATGCCACATTATAAAATACATGAAATAATCCAAGCTGATGCAGCAGAACCAGAAATATTATCTTTTTTATCTGACACATTTTTCTATATTAAGAAAACCTTGTCCCTACATTACCCACAATACGACGCATCCGCCTCCATTTGGTGTGTTATGCAAGTAGCGACTAATGTAGCTGCCTCGTTAGGTTTGCCTCAAACTAGAGAGATGAGGAGCTAACTCCACACAAACAGGTTTATTTCGTTCTCAAACTTGTAGTCTTCAGCTCCAACTGACATTGACTCAAGTGACATCACTTGAGGACATCTATCAGACTTCACACAGCTCCCTCTGGAGGAACAAAAGGTTCTATACAACTTTTTTAACATGCAGTAGTGCTCTGTGGAAACAAAATAAGTGGAGCGCCACTTTAAATTAAAATATTATCAGATCAATCAATAATATCAAATAAATATACTGAAAGTATTTGAAATTAAAGTACTCCTATGCAGAATGACTCCTTTCAGTGTCATATTATTGACAACTAGTGTACTGAATTATATTACTTCACATGTCAGCAAGAGGACTTTATATACTGTTGGATACTATTACCATAATACTGTTTAATAAAGTGATCATATGCCTACGTTAACAGACAATGGAAATAATCAAGTTCAGCACGAGTAGCTCAAAAGAGTAAATATACTTTCCACTGCTTGTAGTCTTGTGTATGTGTCATGGTCATATAACTGCCCACAGGACATACATGCACATCATCATCGAAAGGCTTTCTCACAGCAACTGTGGGGCACAATATCTTCTTTTCTTCAAAGTAAGCAGTGATGACCCACTCAGATAAGTTTTGTGTTTATTCTTTGCATTATGTGAGGTCAGGAACAACGGGAACAAACCGGGGCCTCTGGCCGACAGAGGAAGAATGCCATGGTGACTAGTCGAAGTCTCAATGAGCCAAGAAAAGACACGGAAAATATGTGTGTAATGAGGGAGAGAGTGGGAGAGAGGGGGAGGGAGCGTGATGATCACACATCTGGCTCAATAGGAAATGAGGAGTACGGGATGACATTTAGATTGGAGCTGCTCTTTGCGTATTCTGTCAGTCACACTGACTTACAGCAGGCTTCACACCTGCTCTACTGATTTCACCAAACTAGTTATAAAATTGCACCTGTTTCTGAACTCTGTGTGTGTGTGTGTGTGTGTGTGTGTGTGTGTGTGTGTGTGTGTGTGTGTGTGTGAGACAGACAGACAGACAGAGAGAGAGAGAGAGAGAGAGAGAGAGAGAGAGAGAGAGAGAGAGAGAGAGAGAGAGAGAGAGAAGACGTGGGTGGCCTGCACACCTGACCAGCATGTTAAGGATCATGACGGATGCTCATCCGTGTGGGTGGTGATCTCACACACGCGTGTGTGTGCAGTGCACGTACAACTACAAAGCTTAATGGTTCCTGAGGAGTATGGGTGAGAGGAAGAGGTACATTCTCTGTCCCTCCTGCCTCCTCTCTCTGGGTGTGGTCCTGATTCCTGCTTCACTCTCAGCATGTTAATGAAACACGCTTACATTTTGGGAGCACATTGGTCAATGAAAACATACTGTGGGGACTGGGGTCTCTGCTAGATTATTGGCACTAATGCACAATGCTAAGACTTTTGCATACTCATACTCATGCACATTAAGTTATTCACAAGGCCACACAGACTGTGGAAAAAAATTGTCTGACACCCCCCTTTGCTTTCTGAAGGGGATTTTTGAAGCTTAAGTTGGGTTCACCACTCACCGCCATCTTTGTCAAATTACTGAAGCCACAATATCTAAATTATTTAGGCAACAAACCGGGAAGAGCAGAGGTGGGATGAACACAACCAACCACCACAGCTGAGTATGACAGCCTGGAACCATTCTGAACTGAGTAAACAAGCCCCCTCAGAGACCCTGAGCTTATGTGGAACAAAATAACTTTTTAGAGCAGTTTGTTGTGAATGGGTCCCAGTTTTATTTGTCTCATGCACGCGCATGAGGATGCACGTGCACACAGGTCACATGATCCACCTGTCTTTCAATGGTTTTAGACTATTCCAGGGATCCACAGGTGGTGGTAATGTGCAGTGAATAAGTACACTGCTCATGAATTTAAACAATGAAGGATTTAAAACACTTTGTTTTATGGAAGGAAGGACACTGAACAAAGAATGTTTACAGAACTTTTGTTTGCTTACAAGAAAACAGGCCACCTTTAAGCTGGGCCGGAACTGTTTCTATTTGTCTTGTACTCTTAAGTCACACTACAAGTTTTAATTTACTTTTCAACCTGTAATTGACCATCCACGACATGGATGTTCACACTGAACCTTCTCAACAATGTTGACAAAAACAGCAGAGTTACTTTTACAGTTACAGTTCTACTATAAAGAAAAGAAAAATACAGAGCCAGAAAATGTAAAATACAAGGAATGCACCTTTATTTTGGGCAAACATCGGTTTGGGCTTATATTTGCCTTGTTAACTGACACCAGCCTATTGGCAAAAAATAAAAATAATAAGATGAAATTCACTGATATCAGTGGCTGATATTTATCTGTTGTGTAACATCAATTTTGCGCCGGCCAAATGTTGTGTTGCTTATTTCCAACTCAAATATATCATTGGTCAAATAACCTCTATTTTCCAGCACTGGCACAAATTGTACACAAATGCAGATGTGCTCCATGCAGCAGCACGGACAGTGAGTGCGTCTCACATCTTGGATGAGAAGAGAAATAGACTGAGCTGCAACAAAGCAGAGATGCTAATCTACTCCAGTAATATTAAAACAAGCTTTTACTACAGCTTGTAACAGATATTTTTATGCCCCCGTAGAACTGCTCTGATGCCAGAAATACAACCAATCGTCAAAGAGCCAGATTGTTGATCGCTCAGGCAATTAATCAGGTGTTGTGACCACCTAAAACTGCACCTCAATCTCAACAACCCATCTGGCAGATATTTGTCACTATTCTAAAAAAAGTGAGAAGCAACCAATTTGTGGTTAGAATTAGGCTTAGTGTGTAAAGTGTCCACCTGACTTTATGTAGTTAAACATATCTTAAACAGTCAACAATCGTGGTTGACTCTTTAATACATCGCCAGCATAATCCAACAGTGAGAAGGTGAAACTTTGTACCAGCTCCAACAGCTAATTAGCAAGTTAAGAAATGAACAGATGCATTCAGGTTTGTGTAAATTGGTGAATTTAATATTGATTAAGATTAAATATTAAATAAATATTAAACCTGAATCTAAAAAACTTGTTGGAGGTAGTCATGGCGGTCAGGTGCAAATCATCTACTGTGGATACAGGAATGATTTTGTTTGCCACATTCTTGTGAGCAGATCATACAAAATGAAACGTGTTGTGTTGTTGTTATCATTGCGTCCTTGGCAACTGGCTCCCCTCCTCTCAGAGGTCACTCATCATCCCGACACCATTACAAACTGTAACCACTGTTATCACAACCCTAACAGACGCAGACAAAGAAACACAGTAAATGTTCCTGTTTTCAGTTAAGTTTAAGGTCAAAGGTCACAGAAGAGGGGTGAAACAGCAGAGAGAGAGAGAGAGAGAGAGAGAGAGAGAGAGAGAGAGAGAGAGAGAGATTGCTTATGCTCCCAGCCCAAATAGAAAAGCAGTGAGTGATATTTGTGGTCGGGGTCGGGGCTGTGCGGAGTGGATAGAGGGGCTTTTGTGCCGGGCGTCACACCCTCACAGGAAGTGCTCCCTTTGCGCTCTGCTGTGGTAGATGGATGCTTACTGGTGGGAGCTAAGATTCAGGAATTTCATTAGTTGTGTTTGGGTGTAGTGGATGAGACCTTGCCCACCTTCACAGCAGTAAACCAGCAAATGGGTGTGGCTCTTAAAGGAGTACAGCAAGTTTTGGAGAGGGTTAGGGTTCGGGTTAGCTTTAATCCTTGAGCAGCCATCTGTCCTGACTCACAGCATCTCAAAATGCTACTGGTGATGTCTTATTCTCAATTCTCCATACAACTTATTATTATTAAGAGAGCATGAGCTTACGGATTTGTGTTCTGACGAATTTAAGAGAACATGTTTCCTATTGAAACTCTATATTAGAGGACCTCATTGGCCTTTTTGCTGTATATAGCAGTATACATTAAAGGCTGCTTACTCCTCTGCACAGACCACACTAATAAACCAACTCAGAGGGCTGCAGTGACCCACAGTTCACTTCCACAGGCTTTATTTTGACAACTGAATGGTCTCTTAGCT